GGTAACTAATATGAACAGATTTAAGTGTAAAACTAATAAGGTCTGCACAATGTACCAAGTTTCATTGAAATGTGATTAGAACCAAAAAATTATTAATTATTATGCTAATTAGAGAATTAATATAAACAGATTTTAACCCAAAATTAATCAGGCTGTCTATTGTCCTAGAGCATTTATGTACCAAGTTTTATTCAAATGTGATGATCAATACATGAGATATCAGTATTAATTAATTATGTTAATTAGGTGATTAAGAAGCATAAATATTTACCAAAAACTAATATGGTGTATAGTCCTAGGTTCATTGAAATGTGATGGGTACTCTTTAAACGTTTCATTACAATCCAATGAGTGGTTTTTTAGACAGTGCAACAGCCATAAAACAGCAAAAAATTAACTAATTATGCAAATTAGGTAATTAATATGCACAATTATTTATCCCAAAATTAATCAGGTTTCTGCATAGTCCTAGAAGATCTATGTCGAAAGTCTCATTGAAATGTGATGATTAGTACCTGAGATACATTTGTATCAGGTGAAAAGCTGAAAATTAACTAATTAGGCTAATAAGGTGATTAATATGCACAAATATTTACCCAAAAACTGCACAGTCCTCAAGTAACTATATACCAAGTTTCATTGAAACATGATCATTACTACTCGAAATATCAAAAGATAAAAATTAATTAATTATGCAAATTAGGTAATTAATATGTACTGATATTACCCTAAAAACTATCAGGTCTGTGCAGTGTCATATGACATCTATGTAAGTTTAATTGAAATGTGATGATTAGTACTTGAGATATCAGTGGAATTCAAAGCCGGAAATTGATTAATCATTATGCAAATTAGGTAATTAATATAAACAGGTTTTTACCCAAAACTAATCAAATCTGCGCATTAGTTCAGAGTATCCATGTGCCAAGTTTCATCGAAATCCAATGAGTGGTTCTTCAAATATCAGTGGAACAGTCATGGAACAGCTAAAAATCAGCTAATTATCATGCAAATTAGGTAATTAATATTCATGAATTTTTACTAAAACCTAATCAACTCTGCGCATTATCCCAGAGCATTTATGTATCAAGTTTCACCAAAATTTGATTAGTGGTTTTTGAGATAACGGTGGAACAAAAAAAGTGACATACATACATACATATAGACATACAGACATACAGACAGGGTAACTGCAAAGACTCCCTTTTGTGCTTCGCACACGGGAGTCAATCAATGTACATTGTAGTTCTAGAAATATCACGATTACCAAATATGAACATTTACCTGCTTATTTTAAAACATTGTTCATTTAAAAACTACTCGACACTTATCCTTCAACAAAATAACCTCTCCCTGACCTGAGGAACAGCCTTACAGTTCTCCACAAGAAGTTGAATTTAGAAATCACATTTCACACATATTTCCAAACTTTCGAGTCATGATGACCAAAAAGTGTATGGAAAAACAGGTGGTGGTTGCAAAGCTCTTCATCCAATCATGGCCAACATTGTCAATTATCAAAGACGATGGATGTGTGGCACAACCAACAGAAACAGGGAATGTGGGACAGATTCTCAAATCCATTCAATGGAAGAACTAGCTTGGGGATAGTTCACCTATATAAAGTGGTACATGTATAAGCAAAATACCGGTAAACTATCTTTCCAGGTAATACATGGTGTTGATGAATTTTTGTTCAACCTTGTTGTTTTGCAACAAATATCGGATGCAAATGGATTTATATGGAGACGGAGCAAAAAAGACATGTATGTCATTGAAGTCACAGTATCTAATGAGGTAATTCAACATACATGTATGTCTATACACTTTGACAACCCACAAACATAGAATATGCAATGTTTTGTGTATATAATCAATGTGTTATGTAATTATGTGAAATTTAAAGTCTAATTTTTACATACAATTACAATTCAACATGTGAAACAAGCATATACATGGATGCAACCAAACATATTAAAAATAGAATTTGCAGACAGTGTACACAGAATGAAATAGAAGATGAACTGTATTTGTTATGATACGCTCTCAATATAAGTTAATATTCCAACAAATCATACAAGACATTAAATTTCCAAAAGGAACACAAGATGATCTTCAAAAATTTAATTTCTTCATGACTTCAAAAGATGTCATAATAAAAAAGACATACTGTAACTATAATCCTACCTAATTTCAATCAAGAAATGAAAATGCCATATGTTATGTAACACTTGATAGAAACTTTGTATTTCTAAGGATGTAATAAAGTTATTATTACATTAACATGAATGCATTAATGTTGTGTCACAATGGTACTTTGTGGTGGTTAGATTAGTTTATTATATCTTTCATTCCTTAACAGGGAGGTTCAGATGCTAGAGGTTCACAGTTTTGGTCGTATCTACCAATAACACATTGTGTGTCCCCATCAGAAGTATTTGCAGATACATGCCGTAATACAGGTAATTATGGAAATTAAGGAAAACATTATTGTTTGGTTGTATGAGTAATTGTTGGCCTTGTTACTTTCAATATATTGGTAAATGGTTTTTTATATATACAGTATTACATTTTTTTTGTTTAGATGATCGATATGTTCTTCTTGATGAAATAGAATTTTTCAGTGAAAAATTTCGCCGAATTCATCATTACTTGAATTGCTTTTATGGGAATGAAACAATGATTATCAAATTTTCTAAAGCTGAATATCCGATATATAAGGAAGACCCAAGTGAATGTTTAGATATAATTATGAGGTAAGCCACATTTATGACTATTATTATTTGTTTAATATTTTACCAAGTATGTATAAATAAGTATCACAATGAAATCAACAAATTGTCAATTTTGTTTAGCGGAGCTTATCATGTGAGTGATTGTCTGTTGTGGTATGTCATCTGTCATCTGCATCAACTTGTTACTTTTTTGACTTTTTTAGCTCCGCTGTCGACTTTGTCGAGCGGAGCTTATCATATGAGTGATTTTGTCCGTCGTCGTCCGTCTCCGTCGTCGTCCGTCGTCCGTGTCAATGTTTTACTTTTTCGACTTCTTCTTGAAAACTACAAGCCTGAATGCTTTGATACTTGGTGTATATGTACCTTGGGT